AAAAAAAGTGAACATGGGCTTCCCTGGTGGAGCAGTGGTTAAGAATCCACCTGCCAATGCAGGGTACACGGGTTCGAGCCCTGGTCCGGGAAGATCCCACATGCCGCGGAGCAACTAAGCCCGTGAGCCACAACTACTGAGCCCACGCACTGCAACTACTGAAGCCCGCACGCCTAGAGCCCATGCTCTGCAACAAAAGAAGCCACCACATTGAGAAGCCTGCATACCACAACGAAGAGTAGCTCCCACTCGCCACAACTAGAGAAAGCCCACGCACAGCAACAAAGACCCAACACAGCCAAAATAATAAATTTAAAAAAATAATTTTAAAAAAAGTCATTAAAAAAAAAGTGAACATTGCCTCAGCTAAGTGAGTTTAAGAACCCTCATTACAGGTGCACATTCTACATTGCTTTTGCCAATGTTTTATGCTTTCTATGGTTGAAAAAAGAGTATTTATTCAAATACTCTCAATTACCTGAAGAGTAATTTGCGCACCACAACTACTGAGCCCACGAGCCACAACTACTGAGCCCACGCACCAGAACTACTGAGCCCGTGTGCTCTGGAGCCTGTGTGCCACAACTAGAGAGAAGCCCACGCACCACGATGAAAGATCCTGCATGCCACAAGTAAGACCCGACACAGCCAAAAATAAATAAATAAATATTTTTTTAAAAAATATATGCATAAAGAATAGAATTAATCCTTGCCTTTACTACTAGCATACATTTAAATAGAATATAATTATTTAAGTACTTATAGGCCAGCTGGTTCATTTAATCAAAGTATCCATCCCTACATGCATAAGATTTTGTTTGGAACTTAAAGATGAAAAAGACATAGCTCAAGCAAAATTTTAGAACAAATCCCCATATACAAATAATTGTTGTCTTGAACAGGATGTTCTGAGAGCTGGACTTCTAATAACTGGTCTTATCAAAACACTACATAATATTACTCAGCCATGAAAAAGAATAAAATATTGCCATTTGCAGGAACATGGATGGACCTAGAGATTATCATACTATGCGAAGTAAGTCAGACAGAGAAAGACAAATATCATATGACATCACTTGTAGGAGGAATCTAAAAAGATGGTACAAATGAACTTATTTACAAAACAGAAACAGACTCATGGACATAGAAAACAAACTTATGGTTACCAAAGGGAAAATAGGGAGGGGGATAATTTAGAAGTTTGGGATTAACAGATACACACTACTATATATAAAATAGATAAACAACAAGGACCTACTATATAGCACAGGGAACTATATTCAATATCTTGTAATAACCTATAATAGAAAAGGATCTGAAAAAGAATACACATATGTATAACTGAATCATTTTGCTGTATACCTGAAACTAACACAACACTGTATGTAAATCAACTGTACTCCAATTTTTAAAAAAGGCTCTGCATAAGATAGCACTAAAAGTAGAAACATCTGAATTATCCTCCCCTTGCAATTGTACCCAATAGAATGCCTACATTACAAACTCTTCTTTCTCTCTGTAGGCCCTACAAGAACAATGATGGTTACCATATACAGCAGTCATTCAACAGAGCAATGGCCTGTAAGCACTTTACTGTAACCCCGAATCCAACTGCATGTCCTGAATTTCCTCTTCAGATCCTGGAAGGCTTAAGATTCAACCTGGCTTGTGTAGCGGTTTATTTATTTGAGGGGAAAATGTCTGGCACCAGCACCTGAGACTCTTGCAGCTACTTTTCTTTAATGAGTTAAAAGAAGTCCACTAAACTTTGGAAGTTCACCCAAAAGGTGAATCAAAAGAATCTAGACATGACCTAACTGCCAGCCCTCAATTATAAAACAGATAAATGAAACCATTTTGATGGAGAGGGCATGGCTGACAGAGAGTGTACCACATTCAGTGAAAACATCCTCACTAATTAACTTTGAGGCCGGCTAATTCAGTCAGAGAAAGATAGCAGAGAAGAAAAGCCAAATGTCTTTATACTTTTCCTAAAAAAAAAAATCATCTTACCTTAAAGTAAAGAAGAAATAAAGATTAAAACCTGGACAGATGGAGAAACTGACCTGGGTGTGGGTGCAGGTCTGTGCTTCATAAGTGTTTTCAGTGATACTGAGATGATGGGTTCTTATGGCCACTGCTCAGTATTTAAGTTTCTCATTATTAACCCTGATGTAATTTCCCTTTTCCCTCACCAAATGATAGAAGGAATTAACAAACATAGCCAAAAGCTAACATACAGTGTGAGAGCACGAAGAACACCAGTTCTGAAGCTGACAGTACAAGCAGGAACCACTTCTAACCCTTTGCTGCACTGGACACCGTCACTGCCTGCTGATGTCAGGGGCTCTGAACACACAGTATCTTTAAAACCCATCTTCTCCATAATGAATCCATTTGTACCTAAAATGATACTAATCCCCATAATGAATTCTAGGCCTTCCCCCTACTATTCTAATGGTGGGTTTGATTATGCACACTCATTTCACAAGTCCGGGTTCCTGCTTCTGCCCTCTTAGCCAAGAGATATTCAGAAAGTTACTAACAAAAGCAGCAAACTGGGCTTCCCTGGTGGTGCAGTGGTTGAGAGTCCGCCTGCCGATGCAGGGGACACGGGTTCGTGCCCCTGTCCGGGAAGAGCCCACATACGGCGGAGGGGCTGGGTCCGTGAGTCATGGCCGCTGAGCCTGTGCATCCGGAGCCTGTGCTCCACAACGGGAGAGGCCACAACAGTGAGAGGCCCGCGTACCGCAAAAAAAAAAAAAAAAAAAAAGCAGCAAACTTTTATCATGACCTTACGGTGTGCACTGGACTAAATGCTTATGCACCTTAACAAACCTATGAGGGATGTACTGTGATTATCCTCAAGATGAGGAACCTGAGGCTTAGAAGGATTTGAAAACTCACCTCAGATCTCACAGCTAACAAGACGCAGAATGAGGATTCGAACCTGGGCTGAGTCCAGAGCTTATGCCCTCCAACCCCAGAGATTAAGGCACTGGTTAAATCTAAGAGGGAGCCACTGTAAGTTCCCAAGTTGGTAAAGGCACACTCACCTGCCCCGTCAGGAGTGATGGTTCCCAGTTTCACAGCTAGAGGGTAGCCCAGGTCTCTGTAATGCTCCAGCGCATGCCCGTTGCCCCCGGAGCTGTCAAAGAACCACTTCCCACACAGCACAGAGCCGTCGGTCAGATTCAACCAGAGGTTTTCTCGCAGGTCACACCTGGCACACTTCCAACCACTGTAAAATCATCAGACAGCAGTTAGCACAGCCAGAGTACAAGGCGTGATTAGAAAATTAACATCTAAGAAAATGGAGTGCCTCAAGCTGGGGGCAGTTGGGGCAGTCACAGGAGACCATCAGCGGACTAACAGAGATCCATTCCAGAGCAGGAGGGCCACTCAGTAACCTGCCTGCCTCCCAAATGGGGGCCAGCTCCTTCGAGATGTTTCTTTTACTTTAGAAAAGACACAGAACCTGAGGGTAGGAGAGAAGGTCATTTCCTTAAAATTCCTTACATGAGAGACTGTGGAGCCCGAGTAAGCTTAAAACACTAAAGATCCCATGTGAATAAACATCTGAAGTTCCAAAGCATTAGCCACAAGCAGTAAGACTGGTTTAAACAAAACTCTACTACACTGACAATCTAAATTAAGTAGAAAGGAAAACAACTTAACTGAAGGTCGAATGTCAGGTATGTGCCAGGGGCTTTACAGAAGTTTTATCATTTAATTCTAATATACACTCTTCAGCATTATTACCATCCCCACTATCAAAGGGAGAAAAAGCCCCAAGGTACCATGCCTTCCCTAAGACCACACAGAACAGGAATGCAGTACAGTCAGGGTTCAACCAGAAGGGACACATTCCTAATCTACCTGCTCTTTCC